GGGCGGCGCGGCTCTCTGAGATGGGCCAGCACGGGATCCCAGGACGGCCAGGCTCCGGGAGGCCCCTGGGGAGCGGGGGACAGCCAGGACGGGCGTCCTCACCGAGTACAGGGACGACATGGCGCTGTTGAGGAAGTCGTCTTCCCTCTTCGGAGGCGGTACCGTGTTCCCAAAGCCCACGTAGCGGTTCTCCTGGGCCCTGGCGGGGACACAAGCAACAGCCCTGCTGCTCCCGACAGCTGGGGGTGCGGAGGTGCCCAGACCCGGGATGGGCACCCCGGAGGACATGTGGCTCCCACACCCCAGTGTGGGGTCAGGCTCTCCTCTGTTCGTGGGATGAGGCCCTCCTGCTGCACCTGCCAGAGGACCTGGCAAGACCCAAAGCGACAGCCGGTCACTGCAGGGAGTGGGACAGGCTTGACCACAGGTCAGGCGGGTTCCAGGAAGGAAGCACGTCCTTTCTGCTCCCAAGCATTCTTAGCAGTGGTTTTCTCTCCACTCAAGCCCCCCACCCGAACCTGGGCTGCCAGGCAGCACCCCAGGAGGCCTGCCAATTCTGCACCCCCTGCACATGTGGGCAGCAGCCTCCCCCGACCCTCGCAGGGGCCAAACTCCCGGGGGCCAGGTCTGCCTGGGCCTCCCCCAGCTCCCCCAAGTCCTCCGGAGGCCTTACCCTTGATAGGAGCCAAGGTCATCGTTCAGCCAGTCTTCGAAAGCCTTGTCCGCGGAGGTGGTGGAGTTCTGCAGCTGGCCAGAGGCTCTGCAATGGAGGGTCTGGGGTCAGAGAGGCCGACAAGGGGTGGGCACACGTCCACAGGACCACGGGGGTCTGTGGGAGGTGCCGTCACGCCCACCTGCTCACACCTGGCTCCTCCAAAGCTTGGAGCAGAGGGTGGCTCAGGCTTAGGCTCAGCGGCTGAAGCCGGCAAGAAGCAGGGGGAGGTGCTGCAGCCCGGGGCGGGGGCACAGCAGCTCCACGTCTGCCCATGCCTGCAGGGAGGCCGCAGGGGTCGAGGCCAAAGCAAGCGTTCGGCAGGGGTCTGGAGCCCTTCCGACCGGAATCTCGCCACACAATGGGGAGGCAGAGGGGAGAGCCGCTGGGCAGCCCTGGCGTCAACAGGGAGCTCTCTCTGAGACCGGTCACCCCGGAACACCAGCCTCCAACCCACGACAGGACACAGGACGCCCGCCAGGGGGACGGGTCACCCTGGGCACGTGGGCAGCCCTCAGGCAGGACGGGAGACATAAACAGCAGCCGGACCGGGCCCTACAGACGCGCCGTGCGCTGCGGGCACAGACCTGAGGAGCGGGGAGCGGTGCCCCTACTTCAGACGTACCTTCACTGGATGAATTTCTACTAAAAGTCTGACTCGTAACTTAAAAAGTTGTTTTTCCCACTGACTTTCAGAAACGGCTCACAACTGGAGCTGTTACCACAACAGCACAGGGACCCTGAGCCACAGTTAAGGTCAGAGCCGGGCAAACCCAGCCCAGGGCCCGGCCCACAGGCCAGATGAGTAGCTACCGGTGGGCAGAGGATGGCAGCGTCTTGGGCTGAGGTGGGGTCCAGTTCTGGGCGGGCGATGACTCCAGAGACCATTCTCTGCCTTCGGCCAGAGTGGCCACCTGCAGAGGGAGCCAGGGCGTCAGGCAGCGTGGATGCCACCTGCCCCGCACACAACCCCTCGGGCTCAGCTGCCACGGGCCAGGGCTCTGCGGGTGCCGACACCAAGACTGGCTCTCACGATGGGCAGAGTGAGCAAGCTCTTGGTCGCTGTGGCGCCCGGGCCCCCTCTGCACCCCCCGAATGGATGCAGTGTTCCCCAGAGGCTGCGAGGAGGGCTCAGCCCTCCTAATCACAGGCCACCTGCTTCCCCTTGGGTGGGGCAAGCTGGGGCCACGCGTCGTGTCTGTGTGTGGACTGCACACAGCCTCCGTGTCGTGTCAGAACCCACAGGAGATCTGAGCCCCTGGAACCACTGCAGCAGCCAACGGCCGGGTGGCCTGTGCTCACCTTGTCCCTGAAGAGGGCGGCGGCCTTGCTGTTGTACCTCTCCTGCAGCGACCAGCAGGGGTCATAGGCCTCCTGACACTCCAGGAACTCCCGGAACTTAGCATTGCCGCCCACCTTCATCTTCTCCAGCTCCACGTCCTTCCACTTGTCCATAGTGACGGACCGGACAAAGCTACACACCAGAGGGCCGACCTCGCCACCAGTGCCAGCATCCAAGAGCCCACCCCAAACAGTCTGGAATTAGACATGTGCACCTCCTATGCCAGAGCGCCGGAGCGGGTAGGAGCTGGCCTGCGGGTGGCCCTCGCCTTCCCGTCACCCGCCAGGCGGCAGGCCAGGAGCAGAGGGCACTGACCTGAGGTGCACCCCGAGCCCGCGGTGCTTCCCCGAGCACTCCAGGCAGATCCAGATGCCGTAGGTCACGCTCACCCACTGAGGGTTGAAGGCGCCGCACTCAAAACACACCTGCGAAGAGCGTCC